CTTTGTTGAAACGGAAGAGATTCCTCAGGCTAACCCATATGTCCCTAGCGGAGGAGTCCTTCTTGAGCATTCTTTGTAGAAGAAACTGAGAGATGGTACCATAAAGCTAAAGCTTAACAATGGAGTTGATTTTGCGCCATTTGGTGTCGATAGGTTTAGGTTTAGGAGTCGGATCTTGATATGTCGCCTATGTGGTCGAGAACATCAAATGATACAGTAGGTGGATTTCATGTATATTGAACAAACAAGGATACTTTTTTGAATTGAAATTGTCTGGTATGAAATAAATTCACGACTTTTTGTTATTATGATTGATGAACTGAGGTTTTTACGAAATATTGATTTGTGAATTGTTGTATATGTAGTATATTGAGTACATGCAAACCGAATCAAAACCATGAACTCACAAGTATGTATCCAATATATTAAAGTCGATGAATCTTTAAAGGAAAATGCTAGAGCTAATTGAGCTTTGGGTAAACGCCTCATATAATGGGGTGTTAAAAGTTTCAAATAAACCCATTGTAATTCTCCTGCAACTCTCGTCTCTTTCTATGAATCTCATTGTTCCATATTGTTAATACTCATGTGGTTTTTAATTGAGTTTAGGTCATTTTTGGTCACTTAACTTTTGGTTTTGTGTTCATTTAGTCACTTAACTCTTTTTAAGTTTTAAAAGGTCATCGAACTTTTGACTTTGTGCTCATTTAGTCACTTAACTTTTTCTTCGGTCACTTAACTTTTGGATTTGTGTTCATTTAGTCACCTAACTTTTAAAATTGTGTTCGTTTAGTCACTAAACTTTTAAAATATTTTAAACGTTTAGTGACTAAATGAGCACAATTTTAAAAATTAGGTGACTAAATAAGCACAAATTCAAACGTTAAGTGACCAAACCAAAAGTTAAGTGACTAAATGAGTAGAAAGTCAAAAGTTCGATGACCTTTTAAAATTTAAAATGAGCTAAGTGATCAAATGAGTACAAAGTAAAAAGTTAAGTGACCAAAAAATTACCTAAACCCTTTTTAATTTTATTGCCATTCTCATGTTTTGATGATCCAACATATATATTTAACGATCTTGTACTTCTATAGTTCTATGTTTATGACTTCCTACTTAAAAACAAAATGAAAAGATTACAATAATACTATCGAAGAATTTCTCAAACACAAATTGTGTTATTATTCGTGTATAATTGTTCTACATTTTGTGTTTACACCAAAAATCACTAATCAAACAAATGTTCGATTCTCAACAGCATTCTTTATCCTCCCAATAAAATCATCAACCTCCATGGTTCCAAGCTCCCCACCAAACCTAGACCTAACAGTAACACACCCTGTCTCCACCTCCTTGGGCCCCACAACAGCCATTAATGGTATCTTCATCTTCTCTGCATTTCTAATAAGCTTTGGTAATCGCTCACCCGTGCACAACTCCACCCGTATACCAGAACCTTTCATCTTCTCCACAACATCTTTGCAGTATTCAAGCTAAAAAACATCAACAAACATCACATCTCAAAAGGGTATTTCAGACATTTGACAAACAACCAAACACAAATCATCTATATCTACTTTACCTGTGTATCAGTGACTGGTAGAATCCGAGCTTGAATTGGAGAAAGCCACAATGGAAAATCTCCAGCATAATGTTCAATAAGCACTCCAAAAAACCTTTCCAAAGATCCAAGAACTGCTCTATGAATCATAATCGGCCTCTTTTTCTCCGAATTTGAATCGATATATGTGATGTCAAAACGTTGTGGCAAGTTAAAGTCAACCTACAAAACTCAAAAACAAACAATCTTATGACTTTGACTTTGACTTTTTTCAAAGTGTCTTTCACCAAATGATACCTGTATGGTGGAGCATTGCCACTTCCTACCAAGGGCATCTTCAATCTTGAGATCAATCTTTGGGCCATAAAACGCACCACCACCTTCATCAACCTCATAAGCCCACCCTTTATCAGTCAAAGCATCCTTAAGTGCACCCGTGGCTTTCACCCATATCTCATCATCTCCTACTGCTTTCTCAGGCCTAGTCGAAAGGTTGACTTCATATTTGTCAAACCCAAATTGAAGCAACATTTGCTCTGTAAGATCCAACACACCCTTGATTTCATCTTTTATTTGATCCTCTAAACAAAAGATATGTGCATCATCCTATAACACAAATCATCTTAATTCCCCATAGTTCCATACACTATTATAGTGATATATATATATATATATATATATATATATATATATATATATATATATTATATACCTGAGTGAAGCCTCGGACACGAAAAAGCCCGTGTAAGCTACCGGATAATTCGTATCTGTAAACGGTTCCTAACTCTGCAACCCGGATTGGGAAATCGCGATATGAGTGAGGTTTTCTTTTGTAGATTAAGATATGGTAAGGGCAATTCATGGGTCGAAGTTGATAAAGTTCTTCTTCAATGTTCATTTGGTCATACATGTTTTCTTTGTAGAAGTCTAAATGTCCACTAATGCTCCAAAGCTCTGCTTTTGCTACATGTGGAGTGTAAAGAAGATCATACCCACGTTGTGTGTGAATCTTTTTCCATAAATCTTCAATTATGTGCCTCACAATGGCGCCTTTTGGGTGCCAAAACACTAACCCTCCTCCCGCATCATCCTGTGGATTTAAAAAGTATGAATCTTGATGAAATATAAACTCAAATATTATCGTTACAAACCAATTCAAAAGTCAAGATTTAGAACAGGACAAAACATAATGTCCTTGTGCTGTGTTTGGCATGCATTGGACCCTGACAGACAGAGTCACTATCAGGACAAAAGTTGAAACTTTTTGAACTTTGTCCCTAAAAGATTGATCTTATATGTGTAAAAGACGTAAATGCCCTCCTCCTCTTACGGTCTATGATTATTGATTAATCACCTGTATGGAAAAGAGGTCAAGATCTTGACCAAGGCGTCTGTGATCACGGCGTTTAGCTTCTTCTTTAAAGTGTAAATATGCTTTCAATTGTTCTTCATTCTCCCATGCAGTTCCATAGATTCTTTGAAGCATTGGTTTATTTACATCTCCTCTCCAATAAGCACCAGCTACAGATTCAAGTTGTACAGCTCGTCTGTTGATATTTCCAGTAGTTTCAACGTGTGGGCCCGCACAAAGGTCCCACCATTCATCACCTAAAAAGAAAACAACATTTTACAATGTGAATAAAGTTCTTTGGTTATAAAAATATAAGGTAGTATAAGTGTTACCAATGTGATATATGGTGATAGGTTCTTCCTTTATGCTTTCCAAGATTTCCAATTTGTAAGGTTCGTTAATGGATGTTATTCTTTTGTGGGCTTCGTCTCTTGTCACTTCTTCTCTAACTAGAGGTAAGTTTCGACCAATGATACGATCCTACAGATGATTAAACAACAAATTAACAATCTATTAATATATTTGTGAGTTTATGAATTATGATTTATGAGCTCCAAACAGAGTATGGAAAACAATATAATGATATATGATATGTTTGAATGACTTACCATCTCCTTTTTAATCTTCTTGAGATCTTTATCAGTCAAAGACTCGATATCAAAATCATAGTAAAATCCGTGTTCAATCCATGGACCAATTGTCACTTTGGCATCTGGGAATACTTTTTGAACAGCCATAGCCATGACATGAGCACACTGCAATGCATCCATGGTGGAATCATTAGCCAAATTAATCATTTATGCATTTATGTTGACAAATACATAACTAGAAAGAACCAATCATAATCACGAAGATCAAATGCAAGCATTTTGGATCACTGTTGGTTAACTTCTTTCAAGTTTTACTAACACCAATCGGTTAATATGTTTGAATCTACCTTACCTGATTGCTAAAATGCAAAATCTAGTTTCTAAGTGGTGCATTTTGAATTCATGTAAGTCAAATACCAAGAATTTCAAACTTAAAAGTGATATGAAATTGCCACGGATTCATATCACAATTTCTCGATTACTAATTGTTCTTAAAAGTTTGAATGTCTTGATTTGAAAATTTAGGCTAAACGTTAACAAAACCCATAAAATTTCGAATTTTTTCAGGCTGAGTTTGACTCCTGAAAGTCAAAATGCATCTCTGTTAACCTAAATAGTTTCATTTCGACATACCAATGGTATGTGAAATTGTTACGCTAAGGATTTTTAAGTTAGTGCAAATTTGTAAAAGCATAGGATGTAAATTTATCAAATTAAAGAAAGGAGGAAAATTTACTGTATGACGAATTCTGAGGAGTGTCTCGGACGATTCATTAGTAGGAAGGACTACTTTCTCCACCTCCTTAGGAACGTCATCCGAAGCGTTACTTTCCTCGGCGGCAACGGCAGTACCAGGATCGGTGGCAACGGCGGCCGGCGACGATGAGAAGCGATAATGGGATTTCTTGAAAAGATAAATCGATTGGGACTTTCGGTTATAAAATTGCTTGGAGATGGGGTTACAGAGTATGGAAGAAGATGAAACAGAAGGCTTTATTGGTAATCGGAGAGATGAACCGAAGAGAGGACGCGACGATGAAGCCATTCTGTGTAGGACAAACATGGCGTCGTTTCAGTTTCTACTCCGTCATCTTTAGCTTGTTTGAGTTGAGGTTTTGTGGCCAAGGTTGTTCCCTTGTATGAATAGAAAAATAGCTAAGAATTAACAATGTAGTTTCAAATTTTCGTTATATGATTTTACTTTTTTGTTTATTATAGTATTATTATTATATATATATATATATTAAAGTTGTCCAATTTTGTTCCTTAAATTATATTTCCGGTCCCTCTATTTTTGTTTGTGTCGATCATCGTTTGGGTTTATATAATTACATTTTCGATCCCTCTATTTTTGTTTGTGTGTCGATCATCGTTTGGGTTTATACGCTTCCGATCCTTCCCACCGCGTCCTTATCCGATATCTTCCGTTGAGGTTCTCGATTCTTCTGATTTTTCTGCTTCATTCCCCCTACCCGCTTTCTCATCCACTAATATTCGGATGTGTTTCGCTTCCGTTTCAATAACAGAGAAGGATAGAGATGCAGCAACGATACCGCCGGCGTTTCTATCTCATGCCATTACCGGTGAGCCCTTAATCACCGAAAGAGAAGACACGATGTACCCTCTTCTTCTCTCTTTTTTCTTCTCGGCTTCAAGCTTCCACCTCCGGCCTGTCACAAACACCACCGCCAGCAAACCTGCCCTGTGCAACGTAGGTGTTGACCTCATCGCAGCAGCGGGTTCCGATTTAGGTTCTGACCATCGACCGGGTTCCTATTTTGGTTCTGACGACGGGATTGGGACAATCGAAGCGGCGCAACAGCCCCAACCAATATGAATTTGGGTGTTATCACAACCCAATTCCTTTTTCCCCTTTTTTGTGTTTCAGTTTTCTTAAGCCAAGTTCCATTTTGTCAAAAAAAGGCGTTTCGCTGCGTTTGATACAATACGTTGAGACCGGCTCCCTTTCCCCTTCGAATCTGACGAATCAAAGTGGGAAACACAGTCCTTGCTGCCGGTAAGTTTCTCCGATGGTCGGGTTCACAGCAGTTTAGCTTTATAATTCGCACTGTCATTCAATTGGTACTGTCATTTGGACGGAAGGATGCAATTTAGGTTTTCTTCTGTTATTCATGCTGTGACACTTTCAATTTTTGTACAGTTCAAATTTATTGAATGCTTTCAATGGATGACAAAAAAGGCCTATCAGGATACTACTTCAGATATCAAGGTTTACTTTACCAGTGTTTCCAGTAGTTTTGGAACAAGTGTTGATACAACTCTTGGTTATATTCAATTTCACATATTTCCAACCCACAACAGGTTACTTCTCTTTCACTTTTCATTTATAGATAATTGTTTTTCAATAGCTGCAGCTGGATCTGTCGTCATTTCCGATGAATTGGTGCTCATAAAAGCAGGTTGTGCCAGCTAATTTGCACCTTTCCCAAAAGGTAAATATAACCCATTTTCAAGATTTCATTTTTTTAAAGATTTAATGACTCCACATCAAGATTTGACATGTTTTTGGGATGAAATTGCAGGGTGTATGTTCCATAGCAAGGGTGGTTTGATGAGTTTTGGCCATCCAATGAACAAAAGGCAATCCCAAGGGTGGATAGTGAAGGCGAGATGTGTGGGCCTAATTTTAAAGAGGACACTTAATCTAGGGGTACTGAAACTAATTGGACACAATGGGATGATCATTGTTGATTGTGAATCATGATCAATCATCAAGGTCCCATTTTACATCAACTTTTTTTTTGTCTCCGAGATCCTATTTTACTTCAACTTTTTGTTTGTTTCTAGAATGTAAGTATTTAATTTTGTGAAATAATTTGACTAATGCCAATTCAATTTTGTTGGCCTAAAAACGTTTTTTGTTTGTTGAAATGTTTGTTGTAGCTTCGATGAGGTATTGGAAGGTTGGTTTTCAGAATATATGTTATACAACCTCAGTGGTTCAAAGATAAAACTAATATGTTTAAGGGGAGGGGTAGTCAATCACATTACTGGTTATCTTCTACTTATCGATTATTTTATAAAAGTATGTAAATAACTAAATAAGTGATTAATTATCTGATTAAATAAATTACTTTTTTGCTTTCAGATATATGTTCCAACAAATCCTCAAGGAGCAGAACCGTTGCCTCCAGCTATTGTTGTTACAGAGACTGATTATTATTTGAGAAAATTATGGGGTGCACCCTCAGAGGTGTATAATATATTTATTAATTATTATATCTTTTAGTTTAGCTATTAAGTTTTGTTCATTATTAAAAGGTGTTGAAAATTTCAGGGTTTAAAGAAGAAGCTAAGGTATTTGCTAACTCAACATCGTTTAGAAATTTCGCAAGCTGGCCTTGAATCCAAAGAGGGATTAACTTGGGAAATGATTAAAAGAAGAGGCGATAAAGAAGTTCACAAGTACATCACCTGTTTTTATATATATTTAATTCTAAAAATTAAAATCCAAAGCAACACTTGAAAATTCTATATCTTTGATTGTGAATATGGTCTCTGTAAGTTACTGTTAATTTAGTATCAATGTTCTGTTTTTGATGTTTTTACTTAGCGTTATGGATCATTTCTTTTGGATTTGTCGCCATTTATGTTTATAAATGCATAGATGCAGGGCATCAAGAGAGAATCGAAGAGGGTTTAGTGAGTATGTGTGATCAAAGGGCAAGTATGTTGCAAGATCAATTTAGGGTTAGTGTAAATCATGTACATGCTCTGGGTGTTCTGGTGTCGACTTTTCATTATTACACGAACCCATCAGTAATCGATCAGGTTTCAACATTATTAATGTGTGTTTGTTTATCTTTTTTCTTCTTTTTGTGATTGAATTTGTTTTTTTTTTCAAATCCAGCAAACATTTGCAGAATACACAGCAAGAACAGCATTCGAGCGACCTTTGTTGAGTGGAGTTGCATATGCACGAAGGGTAATGAATTACGAGAGAGAAGACCTCCAGAGACAACATGATGGGACCATAAGAACAATGACGAAAGAGCCCTCGCCATTTCGTGACGAATATGCCCCTGTAATTTTCGCTCAAGAAACTGTTTCCTATCTTAAATTGGTAGATATGATGTCTGGCGAGGTATGTTTTTTTTATACTTATTTAATAATTATATTTCATAAATGTTTGTTATATGGGTATAAAAATATAAAATATATACCCTTCGAAGTTAAATTTAAGAAAGTCGAATTTGATGATAGGAGGATGTATCTGAGAATTTCAAAAATGCTAAAACTGTCTCGCACAGTACATACATAGATTTATGTGTCCATTTCTTTCTAATGATTTTTTGTTTCTTACCATTTCATATAACATAACATGTCGAATACCTTACGTGTAGGTTGACTTGGACAACTTTTATGATGCGTTGATCTCCATTAAACAAGAAATAGCAGAAATCGAGAAATGAATAGTCGACATCAACAACAATGTCATCAAGGTAATTTCAGCAATAACTAAGTTTTACTGTCAGTTGTATCAGGGGTCATGACGGGAATTATAATTTTGTAGGGAGCTCCTCATGCACCACAACTACTCATGGCTGATAAGTGAACAAAACCACACTCTTGAGAATATGCAGCTTACCCTGCTCCATGGCTCTCTATCTTTTATGAATAATTTGTGATGAGTCATTGGTCTATCTTTTTCTCGGTGGAGAAGAACACCATGACACCTGCGATGGAACCCTTAGCAGTTTCTTTGCAGTTGTTCAAATAATATCATTTTTATTTTTGGAACCCTTAGCAGTTTGTTTACAGTTGTTCAAATATTATCATTTTTATTTTTGGAACCCTTAGCAGTTTGTTTACAGTTGTTCAAATAATATCATTTTTACTAAAATAGACTACTGGATGATTTATTAAAATTTGTTCCTTATGATGCAAATTTTGTAATGGTTAGTGGGGTTTAATACTTTTGTGTTTACTAAAATAGACAAGGGAAAACTAATATAGTTTATGTTTATTTCTGTCAAATGTCCAATATATTTTCTCTCAGTTCTGTCAAAGGCCCCAAATCGAATTAGTGGCTGTTATTGATTTGGGGCCTTCGATTCTACAAGTGCTTTTCTCTATTTCACCATAAATGATTCAAAATTAAAATAGGTCGATTTGAATTCGATTCATTTAAGCATTAGAAAATAAATTCAGTTGTTTAGTTATTCATGATTAATAAATTCAAATATTTTAGTAAACAAATAATACTAAGTCAATAAAAAAAAATATTTTTCCCGCTCAATATTTTTCCGTTCTTTCTTAAATTCTCATTGCAGCTAACAGTTTGCAATTTTAGAGAAAAACATCAAATCTTTCTTTTCCTACATATATACAACTGCATCTTTTAGCCCGAATGGTTACGAAAGCACTAACATAGAGCCAAAATCAATCGCAGATCCAAGATGGCGAAGAGCTAAAATCAATCGCAGATCCAAGATGGCGAAGAGTTGTATTCAAAATCAGTGGCTCTGCAGTTCCATCCCATCAACCAAAGGATAAACCCATCAAGTATATATTTCGATAAATAGCTTATCCGACAACAAAAAAAATATCCATGACGAAACAATATTACTACCCCATAACAATACTCAAACTATAAACAAATAGTTGATCAAATAACATTTACAAAGAACAAACAACGGAAAAAATTGTCGCATCCGACCCCCGCAACGCGGGGGTTCCCCACCTACTATATATATTAAAGTTGTGAAAGAAAGGAATGGTGAAGTTGGCATACTTTGTCCAGGTTTGGTCCCTTGATTTACATATTCGGTCCATGTACTTCTTTAATTAATTTATTCATGTCCTTTTGTTTGTGTTCCATTCAACTTCCCATTTTTTTGGCAGAATTGGTCCCTGTATTATTGTTGGAAGTTAGGAATACTAAATTTGGATTTTTTTGGCAACTTTGCTCATTATTCTTTACTCATTTTGACACTTTTGGTCATTGCAATCAATATTTTTACACTTTTTTGGAACATTTTAATATTTAAAGTAAACTTTTACATTTTTTGTCCGGGGCAAAGCCCAGACTTTTCATCCTTGCACTTTCTATGTCTGTCATATTTATCAATTCGGAAACAACATTGAAAGCTTCTGGCCCCCGCGTAGCGGGGGTAACCTTTCTAGTTTTTATTAAAACACTAAACTTTAAAAAAAATACACATTATATCAATAGATAACATCTAATGGCTTCGAGTTACATGAATAGATGAATGATGAGTGGCAGGGACGGAGCTTGAAGTGTTGATTTGGGGGCCGAAAATAAAATATGTATAAAAATTGAAGAAAGAGGGTCAAAGTCAAAATTTATAGTTTTAGGCTTAATATGTAAAAAATTTAATACTTATGGGCTAGTTATGAAGAAAAAAACGGGGGGGGGGGGGGGGGGGGGGGGGGACAGCCCCTCCTGGCCCTACATAAGCTTCGTCCCTCATGAGTGGTACCTAAGGAACACCGTCCTCCATGTCTAGGTACCAAGGAATTGGAACCCGATATGGATTATGCTTGCCGAGCATCCTTCAAGACTTCATTTCATTTTTTGGGTGTACTTTGTACATTATTTGTAGCAAATTGTATAAGATAGGAGGGATGGTCATTTCCTAGGTTTAGGAATGAAATAGATGGGTAACAAGATAGGGACGGACGCATGAATTGATAGTAGGCGTTATCGGAATTCTTTTTTCCAGTCAAACATAATATAAAAGATGTTATTAATAACCTTTGTAGTTGTGTTGTAGTTATGTTAATAGCAACATACTCTTATTACTTTATTTAATAAATCATTCTATTTTCACTTCTTTTTCATATTTATAGTACGTATAGCATCTTATTTTGTGACGCCCGTTCTATTTAATTGTTTCGAAATAGGATTGATATATTTTTACGAGAAATTATATAACTAAAAAAACTAAGTTTCATAAGTTTGACAAACTAATTAAAGAAATAAATAAATAAATAAATAATAATAATAAAATCAATTACTTAATTAATTAGGATTTATAAATCCAGGGGTGTTTTGTGCATTTTTCCGAAATCAGTTTTGAATGGATATTTCGAATATAAGCTGCCATTAGACTGAACCTAAGGGACCAAAACCGAAAATTTCCATTTGTGAACCTCTTTATGTTGAGAATCATAGAAAACAACTGTCCCCAAACCTCATACGCATTAATTTTGGACCTTAAGCCTTTCTCATTTCTTTTTTTACGTAGTTGTCGGGTTATTTTACGTAGTGACACAATAGATAAAAAAATTCGAAAAAAAATTCATTGCATACAGGAAAGTTAAGTGTTGTCAGTGCCACACCGGACATCTAACTAAAACCACCCCTGTAAAAAGAACGTGTCATTTACATGGCATCACGGATAGGAGGGATGGATTGTCACCATTAACCATCTTGACATGGCTAATGTAATGTGTCAAAGGTAAAATTATATATTGTTCTCATATTTTTTTATACATTGTTATGGGTGTTGCTAAAAAAACCTAAAATAATGTGAAATTTGCATGCTAAGATCAACACACTTTACACCCATACACATGGAGGTTTATCTAATATACCCAATTATATATTGTGTTTTTATGGGTTTTTGTTTTTAAAAAATACCAGCTATAGACAAAAAAAAAATTGGGGGGGGGGGGGGGTGATTTCAAAATTTAGTCACAAAAAACAAAAATTCCGGCTATAGACATACGTTCCGTGGAGCTCCCCTCTACGGGCTCCGCTGAATCATAAAATCACCGCGGAATCCTAAATGTTGTACAATATTGTATGGACCGCAGAGGGATCCGCAGAGCTACCTCCACGGACACATTAAACCCTCCGCGGAGTGTTGGTTCTGTCGTTCATTAAATCCTTCGCGTAGCTTGTGACGAGGGCTCCGCGGATGGGTTAACCTCTCCGCGTAATGATTGGTTATAGGCTTATTAGCGACGGTTTTTGTGATATAAAGGATTTTATTTTTGTTCTATTTGCAAAAATGTGACAACCCGGAACTTCTATCCTGTACATCTAGTCGATTCAATCAATGTTAAACTCGTTTCTGTTAACTTCAAGCATTGTTTAAGGGTTCACTTAAGTGTTCTAAGCGTGAGTACAACCGAGGTTGAGGTTAGGAATGAGTCATCAAGTCGTATAGTGACAAAACCAAGCCATACACACCTTTAGGAGGAGTGTACGGTCGTACACATGAGTGTGCGGCCGCACACCCACCTCTTGGCAACACACTCACTCTTATATAAAGGGCAGACTCATTTCCTTTCATTCCTTTCACACCTTGGCCGCACACCACACCATTCTCTCAAGTTTCTTCAACCGTGAACCCTCCAAAGCTTCAAGAACGTGAGTAATTCATCCTCTAACTTGTTAACCATGAAAGTCCACTCTATCTAAGCCTTAAGTCCGCAATATTCATCATGTTCTTCATGTTTAGAAGAGGGTGTGGCCGCACACTCCTAAAAGACCCTCCAAAGTGAGAGTTTGGCCCCTATTTCCGAGTTGGACATGACCCTAGCCTTGTTGCATCTTAAAGTTAACATTTTGGGGCATAAACATGAAGTGTGTACGGCAGCACACCCCTTTGTGCGGCCGCACACACGCCTTGGGACCATACACCCATTTTGATGAACATTTCGGGCTTCAAACTTGCACTACAACGAAGCATGGACCCAGAACACTTCATGGATGCTAGCATGAACCTTGAAAACACCTCAAAGTCACACTCCATCATGAGTGTGCGGCCGCACACCCCATGGGCCGCACACCCATGGTCGTACACACCCCTAGGGTGGCCGTACACCTCCCTCACTCAATCATATGTGATTTTAGCACTTTGTCCAAGTGTTTCCAAGTCCTTAGAGCGGTTTTCTATCATGTCTAGTCGCGGATTACCCTAATTTGAATCATATATGTGTTATTGCATGATAATTAGGATCCAATTGTATTCAAAGCTTCACTTGACCCTCAGCATTCCATACCGGTCTTCGTGCAAACCACTCACTCAAGGTGAGTTCATACCCCTACGCTTTTACTGGTTTTTAAAAGGTTTTCAGGGGGGAATACAAGCCACACACGAATGCTTTTTGTGAACTAATACAAAAGGGTCTTTTAACAAGTATAAAACTCATGCAATTCTCATATCTTATCCATTTTGTACCATGTTGAGCATAAGGGACACTTTCAACTTACAAGTAAAATTGCATAGTTTTTCAGATTCAATATCCTCATCAACTACACTATACATACAAACTTTAATAGGTATAGTTTGGGATTTTCTAAGCGTAACTCTTACAAGTCCAGAGATTCATCACTACTAAGCATATAAACTATGGCAGATTTAGTTATGGTATACATCACTACATGAGCACGGCATTTCATAATTATTTAAGTATAATTGTCACTACATATAGTATACATACGGATTTCACTACAGTATAACACTATAGAACTACATGTAAACTGGATTGTACAACATTGTGAGGCACTACTTCAAAACCGTACCCTTAGGTGTACAGGGCTAAATCCTATCATAGTATAACCAGAGTCTCCTGGAGGGAGAGCGTGAGATTTGTGAATAGATCTATTCGGGATTGACAATCCCACACCTGAACCGCTAGCTACAGTTAGGCAGGCATGCCTGGGGTGACAAATGTCATTTAACCAACACTTGAAGGACGTTGTAAAGGTCTCTAGGTCACATCAAGCATGGTTATACGACTCACAATAAGTATAAACTAACCATTTGTTTACAGGAATTCATTCTTCAATGGTTTTATTTTAAGTAATAAAACATACCACGCATACTGGTGATAGCCAGGGTTTGCAAACGGAATCGATTATACAATGATTTCCATACAGAATACATACATGTTATGATTAGCTTTAGCTAGTCATACAAACTAGTGTTATCACATGCCACAACAGCTTTCAGAAAAGAACATTCATAGTTTTACACAGAACTGATAACATCACTTTCACTAAAGA